ATAAAGACACTTTTGAGGAAAAATATTCATATCGAGTACCAAGAAAATGGCTCTGCATTCAACAGAAACGATGAAGAATGTTACTGCACAAGCTGAAGCTGCTTCTTTTTTTTTTTTTGTAATCACTGTCGCTGACTGGGAGAACTTGGCAGTACAATTATGGGATTAATGTGTGAGGCCTATAACTAAAGAAAATTCAGTAACTGCATTTTGTCAAAATCATTCCTGCAGTAAATCTGTTAACATCAATGGTGGTGCAGCAGGGCTGAATTACGTCCATTATTTCCATCTTCACAGGCGATTTCTGTAGCCTCTCAATGTGATTTGAATTAAAACTTGGTTTTCCCTCTTGGAATTTCAGGTTGTATTTTTTTAATCTTTTTTTTTTTTCGCTCAAGCTTTTCACCTACACTGAAATTCATAAACTCTGTACTTCAAAGAAATTAAGCAGAACTTCCAAAGTACCTTCAAAATGGGTAGGGCTGACCTTGCAACAGTGTCGCACAATGTCTATAGCCAATAAATGGAGCTAACAGAGCCAAATGGTATCCTTACCGTTTGCCAGACACACATAGCCCTAATACTTCCTCACACTAACTGGGATTCATTTGATCACATCGAATGCAAAAGATTTGTTTTAGCCACATATATTGAGATTTTGATGCTCTTTCACACTCTTTAAATTTGCTGCTTCTGACAGGATTTCATGTCACTGGAATAGCTTGCTTATGGAAATGCATGAATTTTCTAACCAAAACTTGATCATAACTAGAAATTCTTACAGGCAGTAATAGGACAAAACTGAATTTTGTACAGATATTTTTATAAAACCTATCCCAAGTTATAAATAACGCAAGAAAAATAGTATATATTGCAGGAAAAGTGGTCTAAGTTATTATTTCTAAGTGTTTCTATGGTAAACGTTCATTTATTGCACTTACCACTTTAATGCAAACTTTTCCCCCAAAAAAGACATGGAAATGCCACATTAATCTCAGACGAAAGATCATGTTTTTGTCACATTTGTCTTGCACACTGAAAAATCCTCTGTTTGAGCTGAATCATACAGATCTTTTGGTATAGTATTTGCAGTTCTGAGCTTTTGCAGTGTCCCATGACAAGCTCCCTCGGGACTCTTAGCGTTCAAGCATGTTCCCTGCTTTTTTTTTTTCCACATCAGAGAGCTACCCTGACACTTTTTCCACTCCTGGTTTGTAAACCAGCAAGTGTGATTTGCATGCAGGCATGTCTTTCAGGTACTGTGCAGAAAGTGCAGAGGAGTTGGATACCTCTTAAGGTAACCTAGAACCTTGGTTTTAAATTCATCATGTTGTTGGTAACATTCATCACAGACCCATTTTGTGACAGAACGTGCCAGCTCCTGTACGTCACCTGCTTTCTGGAGTCTGCCAAGGAAAGCAGAGAGATTGGATCTTCTTCTCTCACTCCTCACACCCATTTACTTCTAATTTGTCAGAAGATTGTTTTCACAATTCTGTAAGTCAAAGAACTGCCACATCTCCTTGAAAATGCAAATACTGCTTTGTTAAAGTAAGTGTCTTCTCCTGGACAGGACTGCTTAGTAAGCAACCGCTGCTCTGAGGTTACTTATACGTTAACTTATAAGGTTACTGCCTTACAGAGGGTTACTTACCCTCTGTATCAAATTCCACAACAGCATAAGCCGATGTGAATCAGTGCTGTTACGGTCCCGGTTTGGCACTAGCTCTGGTGGCCGTGCACTCCTAAGCAATTCAGAGCTGAGTCAGCTGAATGCAAACCCTTTAAAAAATTTATTTTGGCTGGGTCAGAACTGGTGTCGTTGTACGGAACTAGCACCGTTGCACAAGTACTGGTACCTGTGCAGGAGCGGGGCTGAAATGTCAGGCTGCAGAAGGTGGGCCCCCGCAGCTCTGCCTTAGGTCAGCTTTAGCTGACCAGAAACCGCACCTTCAGGTTATCCATTTCATTGCCAGACATGTTCATCCATTGAAGTTTGTGTGTTACCTCACCCTGGTCATTAACAGACATGCATAATACCAACATCTAACTGGAATAAATGCATCCTGTACTTCCTTTCGACTGAGAACAGACGTGTCCCTAATCAATCACGTGGGCTTCATCTCAAAAACTGTTCTTACAGAGACACCAAAATACCTTCTAAATAGTAACACTTCCTAAATATGCATTCTCAGTATGTTTAGGGGAAGATGGAACAGAATCTGGAATTTAAAACAGGAAGATGTCCAAAGGTTAGTGTGAGAATTGTTGTGACTTTTTTTTTTCCTTATGTTTGCTGCTAAAACAGGTTACTGTGGATCCTTACAGGGAATTAATGGCCTTCTCTCTCTGGAACCAAAGAGGAAACATTAGCGATCAACCTACAGACTTTCAATTGCATACCACCTGTCCATATAGATGTACACATCTCCAGAGGCTCAGTGCTGCCCAAGGTTAATTATTTGCATTTCATTTAAGATATTTGTGAAATAGCATTCCTTTTGTGTTCCTGTAAGTCTTCAAATTTCAGATTACTGAAACAGGGAATTTAGAGATAACAATGGATATGAGGATTTGCTTGAGTATGTAAAAGGAATTCTGGGGGGTTTCATTGGCAATAAACCCGAGAGCCAAACCAAAGCTTACTGACATCTACCAGCAGATCTACTTGACATCTCCTGCTGCTTATACAGTGGTATAGTAAAAGTCCAAGGATTTTTAATGTCCGTGTGGCAGTAGTTTATTAGATTGATGGGTCTGTGCTGAATGCCAGAAAGGCAAGTCCTCCAAACGTTGCAGCAACTGGTACCCCCGGCACCACGGCAAATGGCACTGACTGCCCTTTGCTGGCACACTGAGCGAGGAGAACAGCAATCGGAAGGAACTAACGCATAGCTTAGCCTGCCACGTGCCAGGGAGACGGAGACGCGTTGGCAAGATCGACTTGAGGAAGACTGAACTGACTCAGCCTGCGCTACAGCTATTTTGTGAACGGCTTCATCTCCAAGCTCACCCACCCGCTTACTGTTTACTACGTTAAACACATGTCCATGAGAACAGTCTTCCTCAGGATCCTGCAACGCAGACTTCGACTCTCATATGGTGGATCAGACATGACGAACACTAAACCAAAAATACATGATTGCTTTTCTGAAACAAAACTGTGTTTTGGAAACTGACAAAATTGCTACATAGATGGAGAAAGCTTCTGGAAACTATATCCTGAAAGTAGCATGACTTCCACTCCGTCCTGTGCATGGTATTGAGCAACTATTACTCTTTTCTTGGTCTAAGCCAAATATTGAATCTTTGATTCCAAACACTTAAGTATTTTCTCAGTTACTTTTTGGCAATCTGGCTGAATACTTGATAATTCCTTCCATTTTCCCATCCCCTTTTTCTCACGGGAAAAAAAATCTGACATTAAACTCCAGCGTTATAGAATGGAAGAGCTTTGTACATGGAAGGACGGTGAGGGTAGGAATCCTCAGCCTGGAGAAACGGAGGTCTTCAGAGACACGGAGGTCGTAAGAATCATGAACGTTGTGGAGGGGATACGTAGGGATTGCTGGCTTGTGTCTCTTCCAGAACAAAAGCGGCATCAAATGGGGCTGGCAGAAGGTTCAGATAAAAGGTGAGGTTTCGGATGAAAGCACACAACACGTCGTTACGCTGAGCAACTCTTCGCCATGGCATGCCATGGATGCAAGAAGCTCACGCGAGTTCAAGGGGAGACCAGCAAGTGTTAATTAAATAACCAGACACTCTCTGCCTTGGGAAGTCCCTCCAGAGGGTTGGAGACTGGGACTGGACTCGGGGAGTGCATCATGAAAGGCTCTCTGTAGCCTTAATACTTCTCCCTGGGCACCCACTTTTGGCCACAGTTGGAGACAGGACACGGGGTGAGACTGACTCGCTGTCTGACCCAGCAGAGGCGTTCTTATGTTGTCATGTTCTCCGTGTTCCCGTGCTTGCACCACAGCTTTAAACATTTCGTGTCTGCCCCCAGAGTGCTTCCCTAACGAAGGGGACGAGCTCTGTGCCTTGTAATACATAGCCAAGCATTTTATTCTCCCGTAGTATTAGCAAGCAAGGAAAAGTACATTGAAAAAATCAAGAAAGCGGACTTTTAATGTACGGCATACACAAAATGCACCTGTAATCTGCTATTTCAACAAAGAGTAAGCTCATCTAATAATGATCTTTTAAAATAGAGGTGTGGATACCAAAACACAGCTTTTCCAACTCTTTTAATGACAGACTTTAAAAAAAAGCCTTCCCACAAAGAGTAGGGGAAATCCAAGATGCTGAAAGGCAAGAAGAGCATATATTCACGAGTTTAAATTTGGGGAATTTCCCTTTGTGCTGGACACTGATAAAAAGTAAAGTCTTTTAAACATCACATTATAATGCAGCTGCGGCAACAATTACTCATTATGAGTATCCGTAACGCCTTTTTTGAGGTTAGTGTATTTCTTTGCTTTAAAATTATGCTCCTTGAAGACAACACGTGGAAATACTTTGCTTGGAAAATCAAGAGGGGCTTTGTTTCCCCTGTCTGTACAGCACAGCGCGATGCTTTTCTCCAGTTTTCGGGTACTTCCCCGCGTATTCTCTCACGCACGCCCAAGGCGCTCGAGGTTCCCATCAGCCCAGGCCGGCCCTCCGCCGCCGCCCAGCACCCCCGCGGCTCCGCCGGCCCGGCCCGGCCCTCGGCCGCCACCCCGGCTCTCGGCCCCACTGCTTACACGCGCTACAG